GGCAGTTGAAGGTTATTGAAGAGAGAGCTGAGAAGAAGGAATTTTTAGATAAGGCAAGTTTCCTTGGATAAGCCTTATCCCTCATACTCCCCCCCCCCCCTCATTCAAGTTTCCTTAGAGCCCAAGAATAGCTCTCGAACCAATCTAGATTCAACTGGCGGGTACCGATTCTATAAAGTATTAACAGAGGTCTATAGCGAAAAAGCCAAAAAGTCACAGGCAGGACCTCTATACCAAGCACTTCTTTTTTCCCGGATATCTGCTATCTGAGAATGGAGTACTAGAGGAAGTAGAAATCAAGGTAATTTATACGTCTAGGAAAGTGGCGTGTCGCTCACGCTGACCTGGACACGTCGCGCACTTGGTTGGTACAGTTGATGTGGCCCCTTTAGAATTATGCCACGTGTTGCTACCAGATATGTCCACCTCACCCCCTTCTAGAAGGTGCCACATGTCACCTCCGTAGGGTACCACATGTCCATGCCACGTCATCTGGTCGGTGGAGGAACTCACCTCTCTTACTGCCACATGGGGCACTTCGGTGACACCATGTCACCCTCAGAGGGTATTTTCATGAATCTTTGAACGACCATAACTTTCGCAAATGAGCTCTGTTTTTGACCGTTTTTATATAGCCTAAATCCTCTCGATGAGCTCTACATATTTTCTTTAGTTCTCAATAGCCAGTTCTCACTCTAACTAAAATTCATATTTAGACCGGTTTACATTGTTAAAATTTGTGTGAAATTCATAACTCCTGCATACGAACTCCATTATCGACAATATTTATATCGTCGGAATCCTATTCATGAGATCCTCAACTCTCAATTAGACTGTCTCGACTAACGATCAACCATTCTGAATTTCGATTTTTGTGCCCATACTGCTGCACTGAAACTTTGAAAAATCATAACTTCCACATATGAAGTCATATATGTACGTTCTCTCTTTTACAAGTACTATTACTTTCATTTATATTATTTAGGCTAATAAGCAATTGATAGTTTCATTTTACTTACTTTTTTATAGTTTATTTTAGCATATTTTATTTTATTTTAAGTTAATCTTCATGCATATTTTTCCTTTTTGTTTTTTTATATCTATATTCACATACTTTCGAGTTTTTGAGGTTTATTGCAAATATTTGGAGAAATAGAGTAGAGCTTGGAAGGAGATTCAGAAGACAGACGAAGTTCGAGTGGTTGATTGGGATTGTTGGAGCATATCAAATAGAGTTGGATTGAAGATTGATGTCATTAGAGTTTGCCTTGAAGATTATATGCACAATACTAAAATATAGGCCTTTAATGACACGAAAACCATGACACACAGTGATTTACGATACGCAAAAGAGAGTGACCTTAAAATAGTGTCATTTCTCCAAAAAATTTAAGGATTTAGGTCACGCATTATTGCGTGCATGTAAATTAGTGTCAAAACAAAAAAAAATAAAACACGGAGGGCGTTGTATCTTATATATGTGTGTCCTCTATAAGTGTCGCTTTATAATTTTATTGAAACGCGCGTTTAGTAGATACGGGGGAAATGAAATCCCCAAAATTTTGAAAACCCGCGTTATTCTTTTCTACCTTGTTTCTATCTTTCATCTTCGCAATCAAGAAATAGAGGGAGGATCATCATCCTTTCTTTTTGATCCTTTAATTTTATGAAACGGTATACTCATTATCGTCGCGTTCCATGATTTTTGTTTGATAACAAAGAGGTTTAATCGGCAACGACAATCTCCGTTCTAGGAAATTCTCCAGCCGATTAGTTATGTTGTCCCTATAGACCGATCCTAGACAAGCTCAACAACAGCAATTTCAATAGCAACAACAGCAAAAGCAACAACTGTTGATGCAGCAGCCTGCTAGGATTTTGTATAATAATGGTGATTATCACCGTGAGTCTTCGTTTGATTTTTCAACGGAAATTGATCCTTCATCCGCTAACGTCAATCTTAAACTGTCGCAAGGACTTGAAATTCGTGAAGGTTTAATTTTATTTTGTTATTTACGGTTTAGATTATATGATAATGCCTAGGGTTTGGTTCTTTTTTGTGCAACTTTCTTTCAACTTTTGGTTGTGTGGGAATCTGGAAGTTTATGCATTTAGGGTTTTAGACGAGAATTAAGTAGTTCAAATTTCAAGTCCCTGCTTGGGGTGTGAGATGATCGATTGTGGTTTTGTTTCTTCATAGAGGTTCATAATTTTTAAAAGTTAAAAACTTTCGAGAGTTTCCTTTACAAAATTTCTCGTGACACCAAGTTATTGGCAATGTAAACTCTTCTGGAGCAAACTAAGAGGATCAGTTAGATCGGGTGATAAAGAAATTAAAATGATTCAGTTTTTTTTGGGGCCAGGTGTGAGTAAGAGAGCTAAAGAGGGTGCTTCCATTTGTGAATTGAGTTTTGGGATCACATTTGATCACTCAAGTTTTGGTGTTCCTTTGACATAACATGTTAGACCTTTGTGGTTGTTTCGGTTGAGGCCTCACTATCTATTTACATACCTTTTTTTGAAATGTTTGGTTGTTTCTTTGTCATGCATTGTTTTGTTGTTGTGTGTGTGTGTGTCGGTTTTTTTTTGGGGGGGTGGCCTGAACATGGTAAATACTCTTTCATTTGAATTTTTTGGGTATGTTTTGGTCTTTCAGTCTTTTCTTTTTTGTGCCTTCTTGCTGAAGAGCTGAACAATGAATAATGCTTAATGTTAAAGCTGATGAATATATGCTTATGTCCCTTGCTCATCAGAAGTACAAGTCTCGAGACTTTAGACTGGCATTAGATCATAGCAAGGTTGTTTATGACAGGAACCCATTACGAACAAATAATCTTCTTCTCATGGGGGCAATATATTATCAGGTTGGCTATATTAAATCTATGTACCTTTCTTGATTTCTACTAGTTTAGTCATATTCATGGTTCTCACACACAAATTTTTCCTTTTGTTTCGGTTACATGACTTTGATATGTGTATTGCAAAGAATGAAGAAGCTCTACGGACTGATCGAAATTTTGCAGAGTGCTATGGGAATATGGCAAATGCATGGAAGGTTATAACGTGTTACTGTGTTTTTTGTCTCTTCTCTTCTGGTTTTAAACATTACAACATTTCATAACGGATTTTGCTCACTGCATTTTTTCTATACAGTAATACATGCCCATTCTTTCTATGAGAAGTATTTCCCTTGAATGTTACTCAGATTATTATTGAGTATATATATAATATAACTACAGGATATACATACAACTAATTAAGCTAATAACAAGGAGTTTAAACTATACAAGTTTATCTAATTTAATATTTATCTTGTTTATCTTGAGTGGTACCAATACCCCCCCCCCCCCCTCGCAAGCTGAAAGGTGGTGGTCCAACACGAAGCTTGGCGCGAAACTGTTCAAACAATGGTCTCGGTAAACTTTTGGTAAATATATCAGCTAACTGAAGATGAGTGGGAATGTATTTTGTGTTTAGTTTGCCTGAAGACACCAATTCCCGTACAAAGTGATAATCAATATCAATGTGTTTTGCTCTTTTATGAGAAATCGGATTCTGGCTAAGAAATAAGGCACTCTTGTTATCACATAGCATGGTGGGGATAGATGATGGAAGAGCATGCATTTCACGTAGTAGATTAGTTACCCAAACAATCTCAGAAGCTGTGTTTTCCATTGCACGATACTCGGATTCACAACTTGATCTAGACACTGTTGGTTTCTTCTTAGCACTCCAGGATACAAGGTTTCCTCCAGGAAAAATGGAATAGCCATAGGTGGATCGTCGTGTCGCAATACATCTGGCCAGTCAGCATCCGAATAACCCAATACAGAAGAAGAATGAGGGCGTCTAAAGTGTAAGCCATAAGAAAGTGTGCCCTTGACATATCTTAAAATTCTCTTGACAGCTTGGTAATAATCAACTGTAGGAGCATGAAGAAACTGGCTTACTTGGTTGACAGCATAGGACAGATCAGGCCTAGTGATGGTAAGATATTGCAAGGCTCCGACAAGAGACCGATACAAGGTAGGATCGGAAAACTGGACACCAGCAGTTAAGAGTTGATCAGTGGCATGGAGTGGAGTGGTCATAGGCTTGGATTCAAGGAGACCTGCACAAGTTAGTACGTCATGAGCATACTTTGCTTGGGTAAGAAAAAGCCCATTATCGGTGTAGGTAGCTTCAAGACCAAGGAAGTAACTGAGCTGACCAAGATCTTTAGTGGCAAATTCACCATTCATACGGGTAATAAAACCTCGAATGATAGTTGAGTTATTTCCAGTAAGGATAATATCGTCCACATAAACAACTAGATAAAGAAGTGTAGTACCCTGTTTGAAGACAAATAAGGATGTGTCCGCTCGACTACAAGAGAATCCAAGAGAAACAAGAAAAGAGCTTAAACGTTGAAACCAAGCTCTCAGAGCTTGTTTTAGACCATACAACGCTCTATTTAGTCGACATACATGAAGCGAGAGCTTGTCATCAATGAAGCCCGGTGGTTGTTCCATGAAAACAGTGTCTGATAGGCAACCATTAAGGAAGGCATTCTTTACATCTAATTGATGTAAAGGCCATTGTTGCATGACAGCAACGGATAAAACAATACGCACAGTGGATGCCTTAACAACCGGACTAAACGTGTGAGAGTAATCAAGGCCAGGTACTTGAGTAAAACCTTGAGCAATGAGTCGGGCTTTGTATCTCTCAATGGTGCCATCAGAACGAAACTTGGTACGAAAAATCCATTTTGAGCCAACCACATTTGAATGTGTGGGACGAGGCACTAATTCCCATGTGTTATTGGCACATAAAGCCTCCATTTCTTCTTCCATAGCCATGAGCCATTGAGGATTTTTGGATGCCAACGTGAAGCCCTTTGGGACTGTGGAGGAAAATAAGGAGTAAATAAGATTTGTAGAACCTAGTGTTGATAGATCAGCAAACAGTTTTCATTTAACAATGCCATCCTTAGCACGTGTAACCATAGGGTGGACAGATCAAGTGGGTGGGCCTGGAGGAGGCTGCTGATCAGAAGATGGGGCAGGAGATGGTGAATTGTGGACCATGGCAGCAGCTGATTCATTAGCCTCGTCAGCAGTTGAGTGAGCCCTGGCAGCAGACGCTGATGAGGATAGGGTGGATGAGGGAAAGACTGATAGCGGACTGGGAGATGGACATAGAACACATGTAGGCGTTGTGGAAGTGACCGTAGGTGCTGAGGGAGGAGTAGGAATGACAGGTGTGGTAGATGGAGTATCATTTTGATCATCAAAGGTGGAGAAAAAAGTGTTTGCTAGATCAATAGAGGAAAGAGTACCCGCAAAGGGAAGGTTGTTTTCGTCAAATTGCGCATGTCTGGAAGTATAAACTCGTTGATTGCTTGGATCAACACACTTATAACCTTTGTATTGAGTGCAGTAACCAATAAAGATGCAAGGAGAACTTCGTGGAGCGAGTTTGTGTGGTGAATAGTCTCGTAGATAAGGGAAAACCCGGCAACCAAAAACTTTAAAAACCTCATAATTTGGAACCGTGTGAAAGAGGACTTCATATGGACTTTTGTGAGAAAGAACTCTGGTGGGTAGTCGATTGATGATGTAGACAGCAGAACTGAACGAGTGAACCCATAAAGAAGCAGGTGCATGGGCATTAAATAACATAGCTAATCCAGATTCAGTTATGTGTCTGTGTTTTCTTTCAGCACGGGCATTTTGTTCCGGGGTGTCTGGACATGAGATGTGATGGTGGGTACCATTTAGATCAAAGAGTTTCCGGACACGATTATTGATGAATTCAGTGCCTCCATCACTCTGAAATTCTTTTATTTTGCAGTTAAACTGAGTTTGAACAAAATTCAGAAAGGTAGAGAGAGTAGCTGCAAAATCAGACTTGGTCTTGAGTGGGTAAAACCAGGTGAAACGTGAGTGGTCATCAACAAAGATGACATAGTACAAATAACCATCAGTGGAGGTGATGGGAGCTGGACCCCATAAGTCACAATGGATTAGATCTAGGACTTTATCAGCTCGTTTTATGTTTTCACTAAAAGGTAAATGGCAGTTTTTGGATAGTTGACACGAAGTACACAAACCAGGCTTTGGTAAAAGAGATGTAATAAACAAAGAACCACTTTTTTGTAATAAAGAAATAGTGTCAAAAGCTACATGTCCTAATCTACTATGCCAAATTTCAAAAGACGCAGTATTGCGTTTATTCCTTAAAGCTGCAACTAAATCCTTGGTTCCGTGCTCAAGCACATAAAGTCCATCCTCACGTCTGCCCTTTGCTATCACGTCCTTGGTTTTGCGATTCTGAACGGCAAAACATGTATTAGAAAAAACAATGTCAACTGGGAAGTCATCAGTTAACTTGCTAATGGAGAGCAAGTTCTTTGTGAGGTGAGGTACTACAAGAACGTCCAGTAATTGTAGGTTGTGGGAGACAGTAGAAGTACCAACATGAGAGATGTTTAGAGAATTACCATTTCCAACAACAACCTGTTCGCTGCCAGAGTAAGGTGTTGAGTGATCTAATTGACGGGTGGAAGTAGCCATGTGTTTTGTAGCCCCTGAATCAGCATACCAATCTGGGTTGGATTGAGTTAAGTTGCACTGATTTTGAAAGGAATGGGCAACGTTGGCATCAATTTGAGATTCTCTTTTAGCATAGCTGGACAGTTCTGGGCAATCAGAGGCATAGTGCCCATTTGTTCTGCACAGTTGACAGTGCGGTGGTCTCAGGCCACGTCCCCTACCCCCTGAAAATTGATTACGACCACGACCGCCTGAGTGATTGCCACGGCTGGAAGAACTACCTCTAGTGGGAGGATTGGATTGTTGATAGTTTTATGCCTGAAAAGCAACAGAGGATGCATTGCAGGTGGTGTGTAGTGAGTTCAAGAATAAATCATGGCTTTCCGCCTGAGACAAGAGGCTGCGGAAGGGAGTTGCTTTCAGGGCACGGTGAGTAGTGGAGAAAGATTCAAATCCTGAACCAAGACCACACAGAAACCAGTGTGCCATCAATAGGTTGCCCAATAGTTGCTAATTGATCACAAATAGTCTTAAGCTTTCGACAGTAGAGGTACATTTATGAAGTTGGCGTAAAGAGTCAGGGAGAGAGTGCATTCGTTCCATGGAGTCATGGCTATATCCATCTTCAAGAGCCTTCCAGACTGCGTGTGCAGAGTTGAGTCCAAGCGTTTCTGCCATTGCTTCTTCGGTCAGTGATGACTGAATAATTAGCAAGGCTTGTTGATCATACTTCTGCCATGATGTGAAGAGAGGATTTGGAGAGGAGTTTCCCTCGACTTGGACGGTTTTTTCTGGTTGCACAAGAGACCCATCAATATGACCCAATAGATCCTGATAGGACAAAAGAGGGCGGATCTGGTTTCTCCACAAGAGGTAATTAGTGGATGAAAGCTTAATTGTGAGCAGGTGAAGGATAGTATTGAGTGAGATGGGAGTTTCAGAGGAAGACATGGTTATTGAAGAAGAAATCGATAGAGGAGAAAGAGTAGAAGCGAAGGGGAGGTCGGCTAGGGTTAATTTCGTTTCCTGGCTGATACCATATGAGAAGTATTTCCCTTGAATGTTACTCAGATTATTATTGAGTATATATATAATATAACAACAGGATATACATACAACTAATTAAGCTAATAACAAGGAGTTTAAACTATACAAGTTTATCTAATTTAATATTTATCTTGTTTATCTTGAGTGGTACCAATACTTTCACAACCTTAAAAAAAGAAAAAGTGAAAACATTGAGTAAAAAATTTAGAGCCAAAAACTTATCAATCTAAGTATTGATAGACAAAACTATCTAATTTAACATGACAAATGAAAATGATACATCAATACCACTTTCCCATTATTATTTTTTGTTAACAATTCATTGCCCATTTTTGACATTAAACCATCAACATATAATTAATGCAAGAATCCATGTAAAAGTGATTGATAAAAACAAGAGTAATTAGTTGTTATAAAGTGCATATTCATGTTCCAACGAAATCGAGACATTTGTTTTTTATTCGAAATGTGATTTTAAGACTTGATTAACAACAAAAAATTGATCCCTATTATAATACTACATAAAGTTTTGGATGGTTATAGACTGACTACCTGATTGCTCTGGCTGATTCATGATTTCTGTTCCATAAAAAGACTGGCTTGAGGATGTAATCCAACCTGTTTAAGGGTGAAATAGAGTTTATCTGGACCATAAAGGACACATGGGAAATTGGTGACTAGGCTGTAACTTCCAATTTCTAAGGACCCTGAAGAATCAATAAAGTCGTATAGAGATTTGTATTGTTGCACTGCAATGGAATCGCCTCCCATTTCTTTCTCCGTTTGGTAATCTCACTAATACTTGTATAATTTTATTTTCATATCAGATTCATATAATGTGTATTGTTTTTATATAATAATAATATGGTTTATAAAATCAACAACACATTAATACATTTGATATTTTTTTTCGACATCACCTATTTGTTTAAATGACAGGTTAGCATGTAACATGATGTCAATTTCACCATGATTTGAGGATTAAATTTGATTTATGTAAGGATAACTTTGATTGAGATGGGAATTAGCATGTTAGTAGTGTATATGGAGGTGAAGAAAGCCTGCAACTTACATGGCCTAAAATAGTTTTTGAGCTTAAATATCTCTTTGTTGATTTGTGTTTTAATAATGATCTCTCACCATTCCACTAAATGGGAATTCCTAACTTCCAAGTTTAATTCTAGTTTCATTTTTTTATTGTTTGCTTCAAGTATCTGAAACCTTTATGAAAAAATGGTAAATCTATGAGTTAATGTGGTTGGTGTTTGCAGGCCTTTCATGTGGCTGTGTTTGCTGATGGAGCAGCTGCAAATGAGGCTAGAGCTGCAGGAGTTGATTTGGTGGGTGGTGAGGATCTTATTGAAGGAATAAAAAATGATAACTTGCACTCTCATTAACTCATATCATAATATTCTAGTCTCACTATCTTTGAATTCAATATAACAACAAACCTAATTATCATATCATGAGGTTACCTCCACTCTAAGGCTATATAATTATAGGCTACTTCCAAAGAAGAAGAATACACGGTGTGGTGTGTATGAGAGAGAGAGAGAGAGAGTAATAGTGATAAAATAAATAAATGAATGCACATTAATTACACACACATAAACTCTCATCATTAAATCTTCAACTGCAATTTGAAATTACATTGACAGAGGATTGGATTTTGATATCCATAAAGCCTTACGGCTAATGGTCCAAGTGGGTTGTTTATAGAGTTAAATCATTAGTTATGATTCTACTGCTTTTATCATGTAGCATTAACATAAAAGAAATTGACAAGTGCATTGGAATTAATGATTTGTTGTTTGGGGAGCCTACTTGAAGAGTACAAAGGAAATTTGGAACACTTGACCTTTATAGCATATTAGGTAAATCTATTTTATCCTTAAATTATGTTTTATCAAATTGAAATTAATGATTTTTTGTTTAGATTTTTATTTTAATGAATTCTGTTTTATTAAAATGAGTTTTGTTTATGTCATGGTCATGACAGATTGGTCCTCTGAGATGCTGATCTAGTGGCTTTTGTCGTTCAAGGTCTATTGGAGATCTGGAGACATGAAACCAAATAACCCTTGCTTGTGTTGGTGGCTTGTGTTTCTTCAAGTTGCTAATAATATTATAAATGTAATTAATAATAATAATTTACTTGTTTTTGTTATTATTTTTAGGGATATGAAACCAAATAATCTCGTGGACAACTAAAACATGTAGATTTTGGTTTGGCACATATATTTGGTAGTCCTACCAGAAGGTTCACTCACCAGGTATCATTTTTTCATTCAATTTTATAAAAATACTAAATGAAAAAAACATTTTTTTAAAAATAATTTCTGATAGCAAGCTTCACATACCTAGTAAGATATTGTTTCTTTTTTACTTAATGAATACAAGACTTACCTTTTTAGTTTTTACAAATTACCCCTTATTTCTCTTTCTTTCATTTCTCCAACTGTGCCTTGTTTTTCTAATATTTTGTAGAAATCATTTATCCAAACGAAACTTAATCTAAAAAAAAAGGAAAAGTCGGCTTATATTTTATATTGGAAACTTGAATCATATTCTTCTTTCTTACATAAATTTTGTTGACAATAGGTATGCAAGTTTATGGGGGCTTCAAAGTTATCGTATTGTCTAGAGTATGGCTCCAAGTTAAATTTTAATATTTTATACAAGTATGGGTTGTATTGAATTGCTGCAATGACAATTGGCAAAAGGTATTGTACTATTTCACTCTTTCATATTAACTTTTATAATCTACCTATGTATTAAATTTTAACATTTTATACAGGTATGGGCTGTATTGAAGCCTGGATTCTAGGCAAAAGGTATTTTACAACAAGTGTATTAAATTTTAATATTTTATAACATAGATTGATGATGCTTGAAGCCTTTCTGAATACTAATGTGTTGATGACGAAAACAGGTATCATGTGGAAACAGAAGCATAACAATAAGAAGTAGAAACAAGAAGGTGTCCCTTAATAGCAAATATAGTATTAGGTTATATAGTTAGGGAAAACCTCTTAATAACAATGTACAATCAGATCCCCTTAATACCAATGTATTACACTTTTTTGACATGATGTTATTGGATGAAATTGATTGTTTTGTTATATATTTGTTCCCATATTTTTGTATTATGCGTAAATGAGTATCGTAAAGACACGTCGTAAATGTATATCGTAAATGGTTGCTGAAGTTTATGACATGCTAATGTGTGTCATCTTCATTTATGACAGGGGCTTTAATGATATACAATGTGTGTCCTAAACGCGTGTCGTAAGGTTACGATACACAAATGCGTGTCATCTTCCTTTATGATAGGGCCTTCCTTGACACGCAATGTGTGTCGTAAATGTGCGTCATAAATGTGTGTCGTAATTACGCGTCGTAAATGTGTGTCATCTTTCGTTATGACAGGGCCTTCCTTGACACGCGTTGTGTGTCGTAGAAGGCTGTTTTGTAGCAGTGGCAAGAAACTTGAGCCTTGGATGATTGGAAGATGAAGATTTATGGATTATGGATTATTGGTTTTGGTTGTTCTATTTGGGCTTTTGATGATAATAAGAATAAGATGTACTTTTTTTGTACCACCAAATGTTGCAATTAGGCCTTTAGGACCAGTCAAAAGAAGTTAAGGAAAAATGACAAAGAATAACAAAGAGGAAAGGGAGACAAGAAAAATTTTCTCGATCATCACATCTCACGAGGTCGGGTGAGATTTTGCTCTGCAGCTCACGCGTCTGCTTGGCTCCTGCTGGGGCAATTCTGTGTTTTCAACTTTTATGGATATTTGAGGATGGTTGGTGGGGACCTTTTGGGATAACATTTGCATCGGATTTTTGGGGTATATTTGCTGCAATTTGGAGAAAAAATGGGGAAGAAACTCTTGGAAGAATAAACTTTTGCTCTCAAGAAGAACTTGAAGATTGAAGATTTGAATCGTTCCATCTTACTTCATGTTTGGTATTTCTAACTTTCATCTTGTTCTTATGAGTTTATCCATGCTAGGGTAAACTATATTGGGTTGACTTGGATGTAATTGTTTGAATGATTTGTTTATTTTGAAGAACTCCATTAACTTGTGTTGAATATCTATGATTATATTTTCTATGAAAATTTACTTCATGTTTATATATCTCCAGTCATGAGTATTGATATGTGAATGTTATTTTTGTTGGTTAAATTATTGGCTAAGTAATGGGTCTTAAATTTGACAAACAACAATTAGTTTAAATATTTTTTTTTCATTTCATTTAGACTAAGAAAATATTTTCTCCATAGTGTTAATGGAAGCAATGGATTACTCTTTGGATTTGGTGACTCTTAAATCCTAATTATAATTGATTTTCACAAAATTACATGCTTCATTAGTTTTGAGACATTGATTTAGGAAATGTGATTTGAGCTTCTCAAACCATTTTAATATAAAAGATGAGTTGAGGCAAGTTATTCATATAAATTTCTATTGCCAAGTTATGTTGTAAAGGTATTGCACCATGGTAATCTCATCATTATTTAATTAAATGTTCATATGATTAAAGTCCAAAGTGAACCGTCTTTCTTTTATTGATTTTACATCAAACCTTGCTTTTGTTGACTAGTGTTTTTGAATTTTGGTATAATTCTAGCTTTCTTTTATATATCTCAAAAGACCAAAAAAATTTAACCCACCATTTTTACTTTTATTTTTGTTTCATAAGTGCTTGAACAAAGAGATTTTCATAGAGTTATAAAATTGAACCAATCTTAGTAAATACGATCCCTTTGCCATTACACACTATTTTTTTGTACAATATTAAGGGTATTTATTTTGTTGACATTGACAACCACCAAATTTTGGCGCCATTGCCGGGGATTGGTTTCTTTTTAATCAATTTGTTTCTCTATGCCCAGATCTCAACGTAAAGGTACTTTGATCTATAGTATGGAAATTGAAAAACAAGAAAGACGTTTGGTGTGACAACCTTCAAAATTCGAGTCGGTTCTAGAC